AATTTGGAATATAGGTTCTCTTATAGCCAAATTAGTGAAATTAATATATCTTATAATTTATCGGTTGATAAATATTCTATTTATTTAGGAAACTAAATGGTTTGGAGAGTGCGTTAAGGAGATTGATAGTTTAACATTTAAAACTATGACATGCAAGTAAGAGTAATACTAGAAATAGTGTATATATGATAATAAATATGAGTTTGAAGGATTCTCTTATAGAAATTAATAAAATTAAAGATAAAATTATAATTTTAAAGTTTATTGTTGATGTTAAGATTATTAATATTATAAGTATTTATGCTAGTCAAGAAGGTTTGTATTTTTGCTCAAATTTAAAATTTTAGAATGATTTAGAAGAATTAATACAAATGATACCTCTTGAAGCAAAAAGTTTTTATTGGAGGAGATTTCAATTGACATATTTGTAGAATGGTAAAATATTTTAGAAGTATTCATAGTGGTTCGGAGCGACTAATGAAAGTGGGAGGATCATATTAGATTTTATTTTAGTTTATGATTTTGCAATTGCTAATACCTTATCTAAGAAAAGGGAGAAACATCTCATCACTTATAAGAATGAATATAGTAAAACTCAGATTGATTTCTTATTAAAAAAAAAATCATTTAGATAGAAAAATTGTAAAATCATTATGTATGAAAGTTTATGTACCCAATATCTCTTATTAGTTTTGGACTTTAAGATGAAGGGGCAAAATATGAAAAATAAAATAAATTGTTATCTTATGATTAGATGGGAGCATTTAAAGAATGTTAAAAAAAATAATTTGAAGAGTAAGATTCAAGGTCTCAAGATCTTTATTGTGCACAAGCAAGCTAATGCTATGTGGGAAAAATAGTTAGTGATATTAAGAATGCCACAAAAATATGTGCTTAGAGTATAAGAAGGAAAAATTCATAATAGTAAAAATAGTTGGTGATAGAATCAAAATGTACAAGAAAAGATTAAAAAATAAAAAGCTTTGCTATAAAAGTTGGTTTAGATTTAAAAGCTCAGGAAATTGAAAAATGTATAGAGTGGTTTGCAAGGAGTCTAAGAAAGAAATATGCGATGCAAATAATTTAGCTTTTAATAATTTATATAATAGATTTGATACTAAGGAGGACGAAAGATGCATGCATAGGTGAGCTAAGCTAAAAGATAGAAGAAAGATCTAGTTCAAGTGAAGTGCATTAATGATGAAGATCAATAAGTGCTTTTATTAGAAGATTATATTCAACATAATTGAATGAGATATTTAATAAACTTTTCAATGATCATTGTGAGAATACGATTAACTTTAGCGGCCTTAACATCCTAAATGAAAATAAATATTTATGTTTATATCGTCTTATTAGTAAAATCAAAGTTAGACAACAACAACAACATCAAGGCTTCATCTCACTATATAGGGAGGAAAATCAAAGTTAGAGATGCTTTTAAAAAAATGAAGCGTCGAAAAGCACTTGGACTTGACAATATTTCAATAGAGGTGTGGAAATGCTTAGGAGATGAATGAATTTCTTGGCTTACTAAACTTTTTAATATTATTTTGAAGATTAGAAAGATGCGAGATGAATGGAGGAGTGTGTTGGTTCCTATTTTTAAGAATGAGGGTGATGCACTAGAGTGCAAGTTATAGAAGGATTAAGTTAATGTGTCATATATTAAAACTATGGGAGAGTGTAATTGAGCATATGTTACGACATGATATTTAAGTTTCTCAAAATCAATTTGGATTCATGTTGGGTAGGTTTGCTATGGATGTTATACATTTATTGAGAGCTTTGATGGAGAAGTATACAGAGAATAAGGAGGATTTATATATGATATTTATTGATTTAGAGAAAATATATGATAAAGTTTCAAGAGAAGTGCTCTGGAGAGTTCTAGAAAAGAAAGGAGTTAATGATGCTTATATTCAAGTCATTAAGGAAATATATGCAGGAGTTATTACTTGTGTTCAAACACAATTTATTTTGACTATATGTTTTCTTATTTCAGTTGGATTGCATCAAGGGTCATCTTTAAGCCCATATCTTTTTTGCTTTAGTCGTGGATGTTTTTAGTTCTTCCTAAGCATTTGCAAGAGGATGTTCCTTGGTGTATGCTTTTTCCTAATGAAATTCTTCTTGTTGATAAGACTAGAGAGGGAGTTGAAGGAAAACTTGAATTATGGTGATCAACCTTAGAGTTTAAATGTTTTCGTTTGAGTATATCTAAAATCAAATACATGAAGTGTATTTCAGTAGCAATAGATCTAGTGGGGGGATCGTGGTTTTGGACGATCAAGTGAATAAAAAGAATATAAGTTTTAAATGTCTTGGGTTTATTGTTCAATGTGATGGTGAAATATTTGAAGTAGAGGAATGCGTCAAGCATGTTGTGTGATATAGAAGTACCCTTCAAACTTAAGGAAAAATTCTATAAGATGGTGATGCGACTTGCAATGCTTTATGAGGCATAATGTTAGCCATTAAAAGAGAAGCATTAAATAAAGTTAAGTGTTGCAGAGATGAGGATGCTCAGGTGGATGAATGACTATACTCTTAGAGGCAGAATGTGAAACGAGTATATACGTGAAAGGTTGGAGTAGCTCTAGTGGAAGATAAAATTAGAGAGAGCCGTCTTAGTTTGTATGGTTACATAAAATGTTAATCTTCCAATGATCCAGTTAGTAGAGTAGATGTATTAGATCTAACTTACATTGAGAGAGATAAAGATAGATCTAAAAAGACTTGGTTAGAAAGTATTAGTAATGATATTTTTTTTATTAGATTTAAATGAGATTTGACTATTAATAGAATATAATGGAGAAAAATGATTCACGTAACCGACCCCACGTAGTAGGATAAATGCTTGATGTTGTTATTATTGCTGCTAAAAATCATTGCTTGTAAGATGCATAATATCTCAAGCAAATATGTCGACTTATAAAATTGTAAGTTAATTTTGTGTTTGCTTTTGTTATGTGCAAAATTTTAATAAGATGCATTGTGCTTAGCATATGGTTTGATCAATTTCTTTTGTGATGTGTATTTGATGCTATATCTTATTTTTATTTTAGTGATGCTTTCACAAAAATATTTGTGATTTGTGTACTTAATATTGAGATTACGTGAGGTTATTAATTTTAAATAATTTATTATGAAATTATTTTATCACTTTAAAAATAAAATTATATATTCCTTAATTGGTAAGTGTTCTTTGGTCTTGTAAGCTTTTTTTTGACACATACAAAAAGCTTCAACGAAGTTGTTAAAATCAGCTTTTGAGGTAAAAATAATATCTCAATCATGAGTCTTCTAAATAGAGATCAATAGCTTCTCAACAATTTTCCGCTATAAGTTTTCCATTATTAACTTTTTTAACTTACCTTTCAAACAACTATGGCCTTAAAAAATGAAGGCTTATTAGTCATGTGAATGTATAGGTATATTCAAGTTCAACTCAATTATATATATACTATTATTATTAGTATTTAGAAAGTAGCATGTGATTTTATTAATTTATGATCTTAGTTTTTAAATTTTTAAATTTAAAAAAAAAATAATTTGATGGTTCGTATGTTTAAGCATAGATGAACTCAGGTAGCATAAAATGCAAAGGGTTAAAATTCAAAGCATAAAGCAACTTTGTATGAATGTATTAAAACTTGATCCTGCATGTATGAAATATATAAAAGTCAGGAGACTATGAGTAATCATGAAAATCATCGGATAATTTTGTTATTACTCCTCATTTAGAGTTTACTATATCAAAAAATTTTTATGGACCCTGTATATGCTTGTAGGATTATTTTATAGTGATAATCCTAGTTATTTAAGCATAAAAACTCCTCCAAATATATATATTTTTTGTTTAAAAAATTTATTCATTATAATTTTCCTATTTTCTATAATATTTTATTTCTTTTATTTTTATTTTTCAATTAATTTGCAACTGAAGGCATATATTCTTTAACTCTAAAAAGTCACTCCATTTTGAAATTGTTTCATTTTAGATATTGTTTCTTTTCTTCTTATAAGATGGTTTGGAGTTAGGATGCAGTATATTAGATTCTTAAATGTTGTGGCGATTTTGCAACAATGAGGGCATGCAAATGCGGTGATGGGAGAACTCTCTCCTGATCTTTACAACCATTCATATTTTATAATTTTCTGAAAATTATTTATATTAGTTGCCATTGACAAATGTTATTTTATTAGTTAACAAAAAAACCATATAGTTTAAATATATTATCCATTATCTTAATATTTGGTTTTAATACTATTTAATTTCTATTATCTAATGTTTAAGCACTTTAAAGATACAATCTATTACCTTAATAATAGTTTTTGATTATTTATTACAAAATAACATCAAATTTAATTACTAATTCATTCTGAAACATATTTTATTTAATTTAAAGTATCGAATATTAACATTTTAATAATTTTACAAGCAATGATTCTTCCCAAAGGTTTCTTATCGTGAAAGTACATATGAACAAAAAACAATTCGTATTATTAAATTTTTAATCTATTAAAGTGCACTTGGTGCATGCGCAATTAAAGTTAATGTGTATGTATATATATACATGCCGGCCAGTTCGTATGTATTTACGTATTTAGTACTTTAATCTTTGTATTTAATTAGACAACACTATTGTTTAAATGACATCATAATATATGTATGAAATTGTATATTTCACTTAAAATATGTTAATGTTAGTGGTTTTCTTGATGCTATTTAGCATTATGGTGTGGTATAAGTAAATATAAAATTTAGATGTTAGGTATATAAATAGATAAGAACTGAGTGGTACATATATAAATCTCGCATATATATATATATATATATATATATATAATATTTTCTATTTACTTATCTCACTTTAAATTTAAACATTTCACTCAAAATTCCTGTCTTAATAGCTAAATGAAGGTATGCTTTTTTGAATGCATTTTTTTCAGACTTTTTCATTTTTTTATCTTTTTCTGAGACATGCATCTTACAGGAGGTCCTGGCAGTGGCAAAGGTACACAATGTGCAAAAATAGCAGAGACGTTTGGATTTGCGCATCTAAGTGCTGGAGAGCTGTTGCGAAAAGAAATCTCATCTGGTTGTGAAAATGGGTATGCCCTTAGGCCAGCAACTTCTAACATGAGGCATTTCTTAAGTAATTTATGTGATAGTTGATCTTTTGGCATTGGGATGCAGAGAAATGATTCTTGACATTATAAAGGAAGGGAACATTGTTCCATCAGAAATCACTATCAACTTGATTCGCAGAGAAATTGAGTTGAGTGAGAATCGGAAAATTTTAGTTGATGGCTTTCCACGAACCAATGAAAATCGTATTGCTTTTGAAAGCATAGTAAGTTTTCGCTCCAATATGCTTTGTGATGGCTGAATATTTTTTCTGTTGCTGGTTGTGGCTTTTCCTTTTTCCTTATATTGCTTATATTGTCGTGATATCATTTTACTGATATAGTTACAATGTTCAAGACAATCCCATACATCTTAAACAATTCATGAAGAATTACATAGAGTTTATTCTTTTTTTAATTCTGAATTTTATTGTTTTGAGAAATGCTGATGATATTCTTCTTGTTGATAAAACTAGAGAGGGAGTTGAAGGTAAACTTGAATTATAGAGGTTAATCTTAGAGTCTAATGTTTTCATTTGAGTAGATCTAAAACCGAATACATGGAGTGTAATTTTAGTAGTAATAGATCTAATGGGAGGATTGCCACTTTGGGCGATCAGGTCATTAATAAGACTATATGTTTTAGATATCTCAGGTCTATTGTTCAGAGTGATGGTGAAATAGATGGAGATATTATTAGTAGAATTCAAATTGGATGGTTGAAGTGGAGGAATGCATCGGGCTTGTTGTGTGATAGAAAAGCACCCCTCAAATTTAAGGGAAAATTATATAAGATGGTGATTAGATCTGTAAAACTTTATGGCGCAGAATGTTGGCCATTAAAAGAGAAGCATACAATTAAGGGTGCGTTTGGGACGGTTGCAGCTGTTGGTAATACAAGTTGTAAAGTTACTGCACAGAAAGCTGCTTTTTGAAGTTGTTGTACATAAAATAGTATTTTTTGTTTGGATAGTATAATTATAAAGCTGCTTTGTTGCAGCGCATAAGAATAATTTACATTACTATCCTCATTATACATAAATTTAAATTATATAAATTCAAATTCAAACTAGAAAGACAATTCATATAGGATATAAATTCCTCTTCCGGCTCTAATGATCATAATTGCTTTGTTGAAATTGTATTATTTTGTAAAGCAGCTAATTCCTGTGGAAATCAAACTTTCGAATATCATTTCTTGGGTGTTTGGGCTGTAAAAATGCTTTCAGTGGAAATCAAAACCAGAGCAGTTTTATATATTATTAATGCATAAAACGCCTTACAGAGCAGATTACAGTGGATTAAAATCATAATTTATTACTTATGCAGTAATAAATTATGCTTGATAAAACATAAAAACAACAAATTCTTATGCATTAATATTGTATGTAAACAAAAACATAGAATTCAATATAAGTAAATATGAAATGCATAGTTTCTCATCTTTAAATTGTTAGTCATTTCATGACCAAGCTGATACCTATCGCAAACATTGAATTCTGGATCTCGCCTCATCTGCATATTTTGAATAAAAAAATAATGATTTCGCCTCATATGCAATGCTCAAAAGTACAAATATTATAATGGTATATTGTTCATCTTTTTTTACACATCAAAGTCAATATGTACAAGTGACATCTCAAAAAATGATATTGAGAAAATCTTAAAGAACTTTAGCATGAAGGCCAAATATGAATGCATTAAAATAAATATCTCGGCCAACACTGCAACCGTATATTTGTTTGGTAGTTCGAACTGTGTCGACTCCTGTTGACCCACATAGGAGGATCGGGTTTGAATTTGACTTTTTGACCCGCGCAACATCCTATGACGTCACATATATTTGTTTGGAAATTTCAAGAGGCGTTGGTTCAAATTTGAAACATTCTCATTTTTAAAGAGTTGAAGGAGAAGAAGTGATGTATGATATTTAGAAACTCTAAAGTATCTCAAGTTGTTGTATTATTGAGTTTTATAATTTTGAGATTGAAATTTAGAGTTTAAGTTGACATTTTATTAGAAATTTGGAGCTCAAACCTAATCTAACAAAATGCAATTGAGACTTCTATCCTTGACTCTATAAAGAGTTTGAGATAACTGACTCTTTTGAACTTATTATCTCCCGTTAAGTGGAATGCCATCTAAACCCACTTAACCGATTTCAAAACCATAATATTCAATCTTATGAAATTGCAAGATAAGTTATCGTGTTATTTAATTAAGTATTTGGGATCGATGTTTAGAAATCCTAAGTGGTCTCAGACATATGAAGAGTATCTATTTTTTAATTCTAAATGCAATTAACATTTTATTATTGATTGGTTAATAGAATGCCCCCTTAATTACAACCATTGTGGCAAGTGCTACTTAATTACAATACATTATGCATAAAGAGGCAACCTTGTAAATTTCTTTTAAATGCAACTTGGATTCTACTTCTAAAAAGACGCAAGTCTTATTATGAGATTTTTTAAATTCTTTAGCAACGATCATTTTCCAATATGTTTCCAAAAGACATCACTTATAGAAGATTCTGATCCATTTTCTTTAAGTTGAAAAATCCTATAAAAATTCACATTTTTATTATTTTGAATTATATTGGAAAATGAATCTCCTTACAAGTTAGAGAAACATCTTTATATTTATTTAAATCATTCAATCATCACCATATATAGCACTTGCTTAAGAGCTAAGCTACCTGTTTTTAACCATGCTTTTAAAATTCTTAGGGGACTAAGTGATTTTTTATTTATAAGCACCTGCAGAAAATTTTATTGAATTTTAGCCCTTTTCTATAGCCCTCCATAAGCATGACCATTTGCAAAAAATGGTGTTGGTAGTAAACATATCAAAGTGCTCGTAATCATAATGCACCTAACTGTTCATCATTGACCACAATACTATAACATTTAGCAGAGAAGACTACAACAACAACATCAAGTGTTTGTCCCACTACGTTGTGTTGGCTATGTGCATCGTTTTTCTCTATTGTGTCTTATTAAGAGTCAAACTCTCAAATAGAGATGATCGGTCATTCAAAATATATGACAATTAATCATTCAAAAACATACATTAATCATAAATTGCATCACATCAATAAGTGTATCCAATATTCAAACCACAATAATGATCCTAACCTAAAATGAGGATCCATTGTCCCTAATAAACCAGAGTGTACTAGGCTGTGTGGGTGTCAACTGTCAACCTATTGACGACTTTTTGATTGTGGAATGTGGAGCATCGCAATGCTTAAGCATTCAGCTACGCAACACTCAAACTAGTATAAATAGGGGGCTAACGTAGTTTTGTTTCATTGATTTCTAAAATCATTCAAACTCCTTAGCTTCTAGCTTCTTTGTTCTTAGTGAGATGTCACCCAAGAGCACTTCTAAGAAGAGGAGGGGCTTCTCCTCCTATGATTCTCACAAGTTCGTAAGCGCTGAGGCGGAAGACAGGTACAATCATTCCATTGCAAAAGCAACTGATCCCTAAAAGAGGGTTTAGAAATCTGGGAGGTCAAATAGAGTTCATGATTGCACAGAGGGGTTGGGAGAAATTTTGTGAGGAGCCTTTTACATATGTAGTTCCTATTGTTAGGGAGTTCTTCATGAATGTAAATGAGTGCAAAAACAGTAAGGTTTATGTTTGGAGGAAGTGAGTTCCCATTGATAGTGTCTCTATTAATAATTTGTATGGGACCCTAAATATAAAGCCAGTAATTTATCATAAGATGGATCACCTTATGGACCAACAATATAGGCAGTTTCAATATTGTGCTGAGTTTAACCCACACCTGTTCAGATTTTTAAGAACTGCAACTTCATTGCAAATTGCAAATCTAAATCCAATCCAATTTTCAACAGCTCCATCATATAACCCCTACAGTGGCCCCAATGCAATAGCAGCTGGAGAAAAATAAGAAGAGTGAGAGGGGAATGTTTTAATTTTGTTAGTTGTTTTTTTTAATGTAAAAGTTTGGGAGAAAATTTAATGAAATAGATATTTTTCATATTTGTGCTATTGTGTTTTACTTGTCCTTATATTTTTAATGCACTTGCCAATTCATAATTATTTAAGACCTTATATTTATTAATGATAATCTTAAAAATTTAAGAAGTAAATAAATAATAACTTAGTGATTGACAGGACATAATGTTGGCAAAATAACAATTTAAGTAAACCTAATTACAACTAATAATTTTATTAAAATTCTTCCTATAAATGAATTTTCTAAAAGCAGTTAAGCATATAACTATTTTTCTCTGGATTAATTAATAAAGGCATATTATATATTAGGGCATATTATATACGTGTAATAATGGAATCATAAAACCTATAATAAACCTTATGTTGAACTAAATTATATTTAATAAATGGGACTGAGAAAAAGGTATTCAAAATCATTAAGAAGTATTTAGCGAGAATAAAATAAAAGTGGAAAAAGGAAAAGAAAACAAAAAAGACCAAAAGTCAATTAAAAAAGTACGAAAAAAGCAAAAAAAGTGTGAAGCTAAGTATTGAAAAAATAAAAATTAGTATCTAAAGTGGTCCTACCCTAAGAAAAGTGTAGTATTTATGGTACATTAACAAATTTATATTATGTTTGAAATATTAAATAAATTTGAAACTCCTTTAAGCTTGAAATTATCAAGACCTAATTATATTAGTCAAATTTCACATACAACCTTAGAAGTTCTGTTTAAAAAGAATACTAATTAAGATAAAATTTATTGGTTATATTAATTTTATTATTAACAAGTTTGTTAAATGTTTAAATCACTAATGTTGTTATTCATTGAATTTAAATTTAAAAGATTGCATTTTAACAAACTAGGGAGTTGACAAAAATTAAATGTATATGTATTACTTGAGGATAAGTAATGATTTAAATTTGGAGAATTTTGTTAAGTTGAAAATTATAACGTTTATGGCTATGAATTTTTGTTTTAAAAAGTGCTTAAGTTGTTACTCTGAGTAGGAATCCTTAGGAAGGAAGCCAATTAGAGCAAACTTTGGTTTAGCCCCGCGGCACCACAAATTATAGCGCCAGAATGCTCTTGCTTGAACTTTGAGGTCAAACAGAGAGCTCAACGCCACATCTCTTGTAGAGAGAGAAAAAATAGAGGGCAAGACAGAGAGCTTGGCGCCAAATCACTTGAGTACCACGACAGTGCAGTTATTGTAGTTAGGGAACAAAGAGATGCAACAATTCATCATAGCACCGTGGTAGCACAGTTCATTAACACCACAGTGCTAGTTCAGTGAGGAGCGTCGAAGCACCAAACTATCCTGTCAGGGTGCTGTGATAAGATATATGAGTTAATTTTATGCTTGTAATATAAATAGAGGGCCGAATTTCTGCAATGGGGAGTTTTATTATTGTAACACCCCACAGTACTCTTTAATCGTAATTACAAATTCCATTTATTTGTTAATATTAACATAACAACAATAAATATTAAACTAATCTATTTAACAGTTATTTACTAATTAAATTAAATTATATGTAGTATTTCGTACTCACTTGATTATCCGTTTGGGTCTTACAATTATTGTCATATTTTCTTTCTATTTTTAGTAGAGGAGAGGGAAATCGAGTGTGTGCAAGTGGAGTAGGAGCAATTCTTGAGCGGAGAACTTATATTCCTTTGCAAGGAAATCCTTGTTCATCTTTCTCGCCCTATCTCTTGAACTTTAATTTTAATTATCAACTGAAGTTTGTGATTGTTAATTGTGTTTTAATGGATTTATTGGCTATTTTTTATTATGAATTTATGATTTGATATGATGATATGTAATTTAGATTAGGTCTAAGATCTAAATTGTGCAAGAAAGATTGTTGTGTTCGCTTAATTTAGATGTGGATTGACTATTCTCAAATTTAAAACCAAGTGATATATGACTTCAATGGAGGCATAGTGGAACAATAAGAAGAGCAAGAACAAAATACTTGAAAGTATGGACATATGACTTTCAGGGTTTTGGAATCTCTAAAGAGATGTGTATCATAAGAGACGAAATTATTTATGCTCTGATCTACAATTAAACATTGATTAACCTATTTACATCACACATATGTACCAGATCAATCATAAATTTAGAATTCATTTTAACTTGAAAAAATATAAAAAGATCTTTAGTTTGTTTTTCTTTGCCATAAAAAAATTATTATTGGCAAGATAAATCTTGCGATTAAATGAATTAGTAATTAACTTATAAGATCAGCGTACTGGTTTTCCATGGGATTGATACTTTACTCATACTTTATATTACTCAAACGGCACGTGTACTTGCGTAGCTTTGTTTAAGAAATTATTATATTATTCAGGGCCTGTTTTCTAACCATGCATATAATCACATTATAGTTGCTTGCTGGGCGTGTGTAAAGCTTATCACTAAGTTGTTATAGGCTACTTTTGAAGACTGTCAAGTATCTCTAAGTTCATGCTGTTCTATTAAAAGGTTTCCAATTCTCTTTCATTTTTTTCCCTGGTATGAATTTGATAAGTGATGCAGATCGGAGTAGAACCAGACTTGGTTATTTTCTTTGACTGCCCTGAAGAGGAAATGGTGAAGCGTCTTCTTAGTCGTAATCAGGTTGACTTGTCATATTCCATTAACAAGATATATTTATTTAGAATATAATAAAATGATTATTTGTTTTTTTGACTCCATGTGATTGCTTTCCTTCTAAGCATGCTGTCTTATATTTTTTGTAGGGCAGAATTGATGATAATATTGAGACAATAAAGAAACGCCTCGAGGTTTTTGATAAATTAAATCTTCCTGTTATTAACTACTACTCTAGCAAGGGAAAACTTCAGAAGGTATTAAGCATTTATTGCAGTGTATAACTAAAATACCATATTTATTACCTGTGTAATCAGATTCTCTTTTTTCTGTTAAGCATAAAACTTTAAGAGGGCAGCAGAAGAAAAACAATATCATGCATAACACCTGCAGCTTCCTCTTTCAGTTTCTTAAGGTTCTTTAAGATTTTACTTCCCAAACTGTGATTATGTTGCCTTACTGCCATCACTTTATTGAACTCTATTTATGTGTACTTATTTGTTGTCACATTCCATTCAAGTTCTCTGTTTAGGGCCCAAGTTTGGTCACAGTTGATGCTTTTTTTTTCTTGAATGTGATTTAAGCTGTAGTATGAGCTCCATGTAGTTGATTCCTGTGATTTAATGTGTCATGATCAGGTTTAGGCTTGATTTGAAGCCATCATGAATGTATTATTTCTCTCTTTCCTCCCCCTTTTTCTCTCTTTGCTTCTCTGGTCTTTCATAAGTACTCGTTGATCAATTATTGGAATTAAGTTCATGTTTTCAGCATTCCACCAGAGGTAACAACTCTAATATGCACTTGTTTATGTCACCACACTTGCTTCATAATTATACCCCTTTTCATGGAAAAATGGTTGTGGGACTGCTTTTTTGTTGTTGCATACTTTCTGCAAATTATTACGTTTCATGATTTTCCTCTCCTACTACATAAAATCCGCGATATAGTTTGTTCACCAATGCGATGTTGCATTTGCTTCAATGAGGCATAAGTTTATCACGGCAATACTTGGCATCCATCCAGTGTTCCTTGTTTATTTAACAAGAACAAAACAATTTGTTGAGATTTTTGGTCGTCTTTTGCAATGTTTTATAATATACAATTTTGTCTATATTTCCATCTTCATTGGGGATAAATGAAATTGTCAGTAGGACAAATGTATGATGTCATGTGATTCAGTTTTCTCTCTGAATGCCTCCCTTGTATTTATTCATCTCTGTGGCCTCAGGTTGTGGCGTGATACTAGTGTTTCTTAAAATCAAATTGTATTCGTGCCGAGTAGGTCTACTATGGAAGCTATACATTTATTGAGAAGCTTGATGGAGAAGTATAGAGAGAATAAGGAGGATCTACATATGATATTTATTGATTTAAAGAAAGCATATGATAAGATTCCAAAAGAAATGCTATGGAGAGTTCTAGAAAAGAAAGGGGTTAATAATGCTTATATTCAAGTCATTAAAGATATGTATGCAAGAGTTGTTACTTGTGTTCAAACACAACGTGGTTTGACCAAGTATTTTCAAGTCAGTTGGCTTACATCAAAGATCAGCCTAAGCCCATGTCTTTTTGCTTGAGTAATGTATGTTCTCACTAGACATTTGCAAGAGGTACCCTGGTGTATGCTTTTTGCTGATGATATTCTTCTTCTTGATAAGACTAGAGAGGTAGTTGAAGGTAAACTTGAATTATGGAGGTCAACCTTAGAGTCTAAAGGCTTTCATTTGAGTAGATCTAAAATTGATTATATGGAGTGTAATTTAAGTAATAATAGATCTAGTGGAGGGATTGTGACTTTGGGTGATCAAGTCATTAATAAGAGTACACGTTTTCGATATCTTTGGTCTATTGTTCAAAGTGATGGTGAAATAGATGGGGATATTATTAGTATAATTCAAGCTAGATGGTTAAAGTGAAGGAATGCATTAGGCTTGTTTTGTGATAGAAAAGTTCCACTCAAACTTAAGGGAAAATTCTATAAGATGGTGGTTAGACCTGCAATGCTTTATGGTGCAGAATGTTGGCTATTAAAAGAGAAGCATAATATTAAGTTAAGTGTTGCAGATATGAGGATGCTTAGATGGATGGGTGGCTTTACTCATAGAGATAGGATACAAAATGAACATATACGTGAAAAGGTTAGAGTAGCTCCACTGAAAGACAAGATTAGAGAGAGTCGCCTTAGATGATTTGGTCATGTAAAACGGCGGCCTTCCGATGACCTGGTTAGGAAAGTAGATGTATTAGAATCGACTTATGTTAGAAAAGGTAGAGGTAGACCTAAAAGACTTGGTTTGAAAATAATAGAAATGACCTTTCTTTATTAGATTTAAATGAGAATTTAATTCTTAATAGGTCACAATGGAGAAAAAGGATTCATGTAGCTGACCTCAAATAGTAGGATAAAGGCTTGATGTGTTGTTGTTGTGGTGTTGTGTGGCCTCAGCCTAATCACAAAAACTTGCTTTTGATCCAGATTTCTAGAGAACTTTTCTTTCTGAATGAGTCTGAATGAGTGAAGAATGTAAAATATGAAGTTGTTTTCTGTTATGCAATTGATTAACTGTATCTTTTTTTCATTATACTAGATGGAGATGGCATCCTTTTTTTTTTATCTGGCAAGCGTTTCTTTTACTCCATTTTGTTTATTTGCACTGCTTGACTTTTTTATACAGATTAAAGCAGTTGGAACAATGGAAGAGATTTTTGAGAAGGTTTACCCTGTATTTACTTCTTTAAGGTATGAAATTATCTATTGATTGTTATTTATCTCAGGAACAAGCTGGAACTATCGTATGGTTTCAAAATACTATTTTTTATAATTATATACTTATGAGGATAATAGTTTTTTTTTCTTTGTATTATTTTTTAAATGATTAAATCATACACACTAGAAGGGTTGGAACTCCTTAAGTACATTTGTTGAATCAATAATAATTTGCAGTTCTATGAGGTCATGTAGTTAAACATGGTTAAATCCCCAATCTTCCAAACGTCATCTGAGACAATTTAGGCTGTCCTTTTCAGAATATTTTGATCAAATATCCCTGCTTAAATTGTATATGCCCCCATATCACCGGAATTTTTTAATCCTGCTTTTATTTTCCATTTCTATGGAGTATCATATTCTGCCTCTTTTAGTCTACATATTAAGTATCAACCAAGTCAACTTTATTGAGTGGCTGGGACGGCTCTTTTTTATAATCAAAACTGCTAACGCTCCGTTTGCTGTGCTCCTAGCCAATATTTGTTAATTGTTATATGATTTTAACAAAAAACAAGGTCTTCAAAGTTTATTTCAGTTTCTGTCTCATTACTACTGTGTCTGTTTTGATAGCGTCAGTGGTTTCAACAATTTTGATTATTTTTATTGTTAGACATAAAAATTTATTGTCAAAATAATACTTTTATAGCTTTGAAATTAAATTAGTTCTGTTTTTTTGAAGAAACTTTTGTGGATCAATATTAAGCCTATCAGGAATCCTGTTAACAAAATGTCCCTGGTGCCACTATATGAGCTCATATGCTCGAGAGCCAGTGTGGCGGACGCCTTTCTTTTTATGATTTTATTTTTAAATACATTTTTATCGTTTCTACATATATTATTTATCATAAAATTTTCAAATTATAGGAAATTATTAATTATATTTATTGTATTTTCATAAATTCATTTCATTACCATATCTAACTATCACAAATGTAAAACAATATATACTAAGGATCTTTACTATTTATTGATGCTATACTTTCTCATTATTATTTTGTATTACTTGTTCCCTTATTTTGCTTTATGTAAGGGCATATGCTTTCCCTAAACATGATTAAATAGATAAATAATTCAACATGTTATAGGAAGCAAAGTTCCATGGTGTTTCTTTCCCTTTTGATTTCCTTTGGATCCCTCTCCACCAATGGTAGAGTCCTCAAGCGCCTCAGCCTCAACAGCATATTCACCAACTCCATTCCCCTAATGTTTGATCCTATTTTCTTAATTTGATCATGCTTGTGCGCTTATTTCAGCTTGCTCATATATGCTTACTTATTTTACGAATTGGGTCATATCATTGATTATGCTCTTCCGGGTCTAAGTGTCCCTTGTAGATACTTCTCAGATCATCTTCAATCATCGGCTAGTTATTCCATAGCTTTGTCAGTAGCTTCCCAGTTGAATTTCACCTTCTTGTGGAGTCTCTTGGTTGAGATCTTACCTCCCTCTGCATTGCACCACCAAATTGCAAGATCTCCCCCTGCATTTTGTTCTCCCTTCCTATAATTGCCTTTATATTCACCGTACCAACCTTTGTCAACTCTACTTCTCACATCCATGACATTAGAGTACTACTGAACGCTAGCTTTTGCCCACTCAAACTTGATGTTCATGACCCCATAAACATCTTTGGAAGAGGTGCTAGAGTAGCCACTATATATTTTTCACTAACCCAAATCTATGCTACCATTGTGTTGATTTTAGTCGCGCCTCTCCAACTGAATTTGTCAGATTCCATAGTCATTAATGACCACAGGGGGCACATCACTTCCTCATTGAACTCATCCTAGTTCTTTGGCTTCCTCTCCTGTCTCAAAGCTTGTGCACCTCCCCACTGCACAGTAGTTGTTTTATACAACTACCTTTGGATTTCTCTATTGCGACGTACTCCTCTGGATGCCATTTAAAACAACCAAATTGTTCCATCTCCCAACCCTAAACTATATTTAATTTTATCTATTTCTTGACTTGTATTGCATAACCCAATTATAGTTGTACATTATTTATACTTTGTCCAAATCTGACATGAACACGAAAGGCTTTTTGAAGTGTCTGTGCTTCATATTCATAGCTTGCAAGTTGCAACCACTCAATGGGAGTAAATTGACAATAAAGAACTTATAAATCCAAAACAAAATTTAAGATAAGACTTATGTTATTGTTGTTGATAAAATATAGTAATTTAGTATATGCATAAAAATTTTGAACTAGACATTTATTTTTTTGGGTGACATTTTATTGATTTTTTAAATTTATTTATTATGGAATAATTTTCTCATAACAAATGAAATTTGTTCTGCAAACTAACTAAAATATTCAAAATTAAAATAATCCATCATCACTGGAGCCTAAAAGTTTGGTTGTGGATCCAATAAAGGCGATGGGAGTGGCCCTCTTAAATTTTGAGAAAACCACCATGTTATTTTAGAAATTTTGCTCTTCTTGATTCTTCCTCTATTGCTTAATTTGGGTATCAAATGACTTAAAACTTTCTCCTCGTGCAGGTTTGAGTAGCAATGGCGACCTCAAGGTGTTGTCCATGCTCTTTATAGGGAAAACTCTCTCTAGCTTCAGAAGCAAATACAATAAACACACACATGTACTTCCTCTCTCCAGCATAAGTGGAATAATATTTTGGATGAATAATTTCTAGGCTAGCACATGATTGCTGAAACTTTTCAGGCAAATTTATAATCATCATGAAGAAGAAAAATCATTAGAGATAAGCAGCTCATTACTGCGTATGCTCCAGCCTTTGACATGATTCGACCAATCATGAAGAAGAGAAATCATTAGAGATGAGCAGTTCTTTACTGCTCAGCTCGGCTGCAATGGAACAATTGCCAATTCCTATATTAGACTTTTCTTTCTGGTTGAGTTCATCTTCTTCCTTTAATTGATCAACTATCAAGTAAATATCTGAAATGGCTGTTTAATAGAATGAAATCACATTTGATATGATTCAAGGCCTGTTTTATTCTCATAAATAAACATTCAAGAAAGCAAAGTTTGAAATAAAGAGCAGCCTTGAGAGTGAGTTTAGAAACGCATATTATTATTTTAAATGCAACTGAATTTGCTAGCAGCAGATAAACTTAGAAAAAAAAAATGATAATTTTTTTTTACAATAGTGTGTGAAAGAAATCCATATCAATATAGAAGGGATTAAATTTCTCTAGTAGTGTGTCCATCTCATATTTGAATGAATCCAAGAACAACCCTAAGGTGAGCCCAGCTTTCCAATAATTAAACATGGTGATAAGATCCCTCATCTTGTCGAAAAATCGAGAAGAAGCACTGTACATTACGGCGCCGATGGCCTCGACCACCACCACAGCTAAACCAGCTGATAGAATATCCCAATCTCCAGTCTGCCCAATAACAGTAGCAAAGGCAGTTGCACAGTAAAATCCCAACAAGAAGAACAGAACCTTCACTGAAATACCTCTTCTAAGCTCATTAATTCTACTGCTTAACTTTCTTAGTAAAGTTTGGATGTTTCTGATCAGCCTAGTGGTTTCTTTGTTGTTTTTTGGAGGACCTGATCTGGTTTCATCCACCATGCTCTTGACTATCAGCTTCCTGCATCTGAACATATTTTTCATTTCAATGATTTATATTAAATTCTTATATATTTACATATCTAATATTAAAATTTTGAATTTACTAATATAGCATTCTAATTTTTAAATAGCATAAAAATATCACTAAGATGAACTTCTCTAAAATGAAATATAACATTTTCGTGTATATGTTTTAATATCATTAAAATACAAGGGTTTAGTACAACAGTAACAACCTAGTGCAAGAAAAGTACCATGGTTGCCGTTGATAGTAGCAAAAACTTCAGTTGGAATTTTGGAAAGAAGAATTCAAAAGCTCTATTTCAACAAACCTTGAATTGTTAACTGAAGTTGCAGCCAGACAGATGAAGCAAAAATGAGGACGAGGCCTGCAGCTAAGGTCTCTAACAGTCCTCTGTAAGACGGACAGTAAAAAAGTTCTTGATCGATATATGTTTTCTGCATGACAAGGCAACACTAACAGCTGTGTTGCCATGCCCCAAATTCACCTGTAAAAGTAAATTTATGAATGAAAAAAGAATAATCAAAATCGAATTTATGCAGTGAATGTTACTGGTAAATGAGTAGAAGCAAGTTTTCAAATAATACAGCCCATATTTCATTCCACTGATAAACAGAAATCAAATTGGTACGTTGAGAAATTATCTAATCAGCAATATGGGGACAAATATCTTCCCAAATTTCACCATATATAGTTAATGACACTTTAATCAAGAGGAGGTTCCAAATTCCAATAATGATCCAAGAACCTTAGCATTTATTGATTGCGTATTTTATCACAATAAAGGTAAGCTAAATTGATTTACAATAGTAATTCCCCTTTTTTATGCAATGAACTCAGAATACCTTAAAAAATCATAAAACCTCGCTTGAGGAAGTAGCACCGGCGGCAATTCACTCAAACTAGCGCCTTTTTTCAGGCGGAGGGGTAAAACCTATGATCTCAGTTTGAGTTTGACCCTTGACTGGGACTCTACTGATGCCTTTACGCGCCTCAACCTCAATTGAAAAAGGAATTGAGTTGCTTCCCATTCCAAGCTCTATGCGGGAACGAATGCTACCAGAGTCATGCCCCTAGGAGAGTCTACTCCGACGAAGCAGCTTTTCACTATACATACTTTCTGTAAACCTCCTATAAAATATTAACACTACTATAACAGCATAAATCGATGTGAACAAGCAATGAGGCAGAAAAAAAAAAGTGCACCATGGCTTCATATCACATCAACTGTGATAATGATGTTACTATAACGAGCGAGGTATCACTATGCAGCCAACAAATGCTATTTCCTGTGACGTTATGGTAAACATTATTAAATAAACATATTGCAAGCTATAGCATACATTATGTAATAGCACTAAAAGTACTCACAATTAAGGAATTACGAGGTTAGGATTTAGGGTTTATAAATTTAAGTAGTTTTATTTTGATATGACTCTAGAATTTATATGATATGCAAAAATCTCAAGGCATTATTTGAAATGAAAATTTTTAGTCTTAAATTCAAGATCATCCAAACTCTGATTTCAGCAAACTTATAATCGAAATGAACATCTCAATGAGACGAACCTATGGACACTACATATGATCCGATCTGACTCCATATGGAGTTCAAATCAAGCACTTGAATTATATATGAAAACTTCTTAACATTAATTGATGGACCAAACGACCTCCAATTATAGAATACTTATATTCAAATTAAGCGACTCGACAGGAAGAATCTAACATGCCCAATATCACTTGATCCTGACATCATTAAGACATTCAAATGTTTGATTAAGGGGATTAATATGTGTCGTACGATGGAGTGCTTCGGATTTTCGTCAAATTTATTAAAATGTCAATCACAAAAAGCCTATAGATAGAGATTCATTCTCTACAAAGGGAGGAGATGCAATAGCTGAGAGAAGTAAAGAGCTCTCTTGAATTTTTTGGCTATCACTGCTGATGATCACCTCCACCAATCGCCATCACCGTTTCCAAACTTCTGTCAAGATCCAACCTTGTTGTTGGATTTATAATTGTCCACTTACTTATGGACATTTGAACTTTGTAATCCCTACAACGTGAATGAGTTAATTGTTCTCAATTATAAATAATCTCATTTTCTTCAACTGTAATTCTTGTATCTACAATTCTATAGTGGATTGTTATAATTGGGTTAGACCTCGTAATTTTTTGTCCCTTTTCATGTTATCTATATAAAATTTCTAGTATCTTATGGCTTTTTATTTGTTCATTCATGATTTTTGAATAACGCTAAGACACTAAACTCTAGCTATACCGTCACAAATTTTACAACACGTAACAATTCTAAATTATTAAATTTAGGTGTTTAACTAAAAAATAAATTGACAGCTCAGTTCAACTGCCATTTCTGTACAGTTCAATCCGATTGTGAGCAAAGTACCAGAGATGTTCAAGGTTGAACTAGTCGGATCATACAGAACATATATTGATTGAAATCAACACTCCATTTCCAACTTATTGATTAGTAATATTTCCCAAGAGGGCTTTGTACTTCACTAGATAAATTGTAACCCAAAAAGTTTTCCTGCAGCACAAATGCTGAACAGTAAGTCAGGGGACAAGGCAAAGTCATATTTAGGTTATAGAATAGTAGGGATTGTAAAATTCTCATATGCACAATATCAAATTTGAAGCTCCAAGGCTCTAGGGCTTCTTCTTTAATTTGGAAAAAAAAAAAATCATTCCAAAAGAGGACAAACAAAAGGTGAACAATAAGGAAGCAGAAAATAGAAGATAAAAATGATAATATGCAAAGCATCTGATATGTACATAACGAAGTTAGGTTGACAAGGGGAGGGGCGGCGGGATCTTACCGGTCAGAGCGCAACACCGCTTTTGCGGGATGGCGAACAGCACTCTTTCCCCTCGGCCTAAGAAAAGCTTCGAGCGCGATCAAGCAAAAAAGCCAGTGAGCTTCTGCTTGATTACAAAAAGCCTGTCCAGCTGCGGGAGGTCGGAAGAGCAGAGAATCGAGGAAGGAGAGAGAAGAATGAGTCTGAGGGTTCCAGACGATATGAGAAGCCCTACCAAACACAAATTTGCTTAATTGTTTGGAAGAAGCTTTAACATGAAAATTATAAGTTTGAATATTTAGCAATTAATGTCTTTCATTTGGAACCAATAATTATTTTATTTTATTTTATTTTAAGCGAGTATATGATTATGTTATGTGAATAAATTGATGTGGATCAATAAAAAAAATTATTAAGAATGTTATGAAATTTTCAATAACATGCATCAAGAAATATCGAATTACATTAAATTTTAGTTATATAATGATTAAATATTTAATTTTAATGAATTACAAACCATATTATTATTAAGCCGTTCTTTAGTTGGCTAAAAAAAGGATGCAACATAAAAAAATAGTGTAAATGAAATATAGTATAAAAAGTACACTTCAAAGTTATTTATATGAGTATAAAATGAACATATTGGGTTATTGTTTTATTTATTTGATTTTTGAAATAAAATGATTTCAATGTAAAATTCAAAAAGGTTGCATTCAACAATAGCTATGATGATTTGTGATGGTGGATAATGGTGTCAACCGGCAAATGAAGTGTTGACAGCATTGACGACGGTGGTCAGTGTTGGCAGCATTTGTGCCTATTGGCGGCCATCAGTGTGATGGCCAATAGCGATGGGCGACTGATGATGAATTTATTGTATATTTAAAACTCGCTCAAATATGATAAATTTTAAATAGACCTAAAATGAACTATACGGTAAATTCCAAATCTATCAAAATTTTACACAACATTTATTTTACTTCAAACCAAACACCAATACTCTCAAAACCCCTACATTATAGTGAAATACTTAACACCCATTTAACTTCAAACCAAGCAACCTCGAAGCTTATATGTTTGTATTAGTTATGATGATGTTATAAAATTAATTAATTTAAAAAAAAATTATTCAATCTGAGGCATCACAATATATGTTATTTATGAAAACAGTAATGATGAAATCTTCGAAGAATTCAACGAACGGTTGAGAGAATAAATTTAATAAATACAAAGAAGAATTATGACTAAATTATATTTTTATCTATCTTGGAATTATTTTATAGAATAGGTAGAAAACTATATCGCAACTTTAGCATCATAGTAGCATGATGCATTATAGAAGAAAGAATGATTATCCCTACTTGTACGGCCTTTTTAACCGAAACACCTAAACTAATGCAATACATCAACGAATAATAATATATCACATAATTGCATCATTTATACAAAAACTGTCGCACAACTTGACATAAATTCATGAATGCTAATTGCAGACTATACCATCATTATTATTTTCGAAAGCTTAAAATTTGCATAGGTAGAAATAAAATCTTGTATTTCTTTTCCTCAGCTTTTCCTTTTCAGAGAAAGAATTGCAAATTACAAAACGCAGCAGGAGAAGGAAAAAAAAAAAGAAAAAAGCTGGGGATCGGATCATCCATATATATATATCACCAACTTGAAAACAAGAATAAAAGTATGGCAAACAAACCCCATCTCTTTATTTAGAACTACAATACAAGGACACTAAAATCGACGGTGAACGCAACGCAAGAGAACACAAAGTAGAAGGCTAATTTACACGGCGAAGTGAACCATTATATCTACATAGCAGCAGCTACTGGTTTGTACAGCCAAAGTAGAAGCACCTAGCCTTGATAAAAATCATCATAATAATATTGGCGAGCGTTAACAATAGGGAAAAACTATTTAGGGCCTACAAGTAATTACAAGCTAACAAGTGGAAAACCAAACCGTAATACTAATAAAGGTCTAATTCTCTTCTGGTTGTGTGACTGGATAAATAAGAAGCTTCCGCCATATATAAATGATTAGACGATCATCGACGACGATGTTGGAGCTGATGAGCCTTCTCTATTCTGTCAGCATACATTGGGAGGCGCACTATCTCCGATATCTCATTCAGAAGCACATCCTCTGTAATGTTGTCTGATATGCTCCTCATTACCTGTGCGATTCGTGTACATTAAAACAAAGTTGAGGATAAACCCTAAACAGCAAATAGAGCTCGGAATAACAAAAAAATAAAAAATAATTGGGACAGGTTATTTGGCCTGGAAGGACTGAGCTAGTTTAGGAAAGAAAAGAAAGAATAGATTACCTTCCGACAAGTATTGATATCATTTGGTGTAGATTTATCCGTTCTGGCACGCATACACACCCAGCAACCACTCTCTTGGTCCCATGAACACTCGATGATCTTACCCGAATAATCTTGTAAATCATCTTCATCTACATGATAACCACATGGATTTCATTATAAATCTCAATTCTCATGGATGCGGTAATTGAGATTATAAAGAAAAAACTCCACAAGTTAACAAATAGTGCGGTGCGCTCAAAGAACTTCAAAGCCAACTGTGCACATGTTATAATTTCAAACAAGAACTAGATAAATGCCAACAAAAAGAGCATGCTAACTTTTAAGGAAAAGAATATTAAAGAACTACTTGAAGTTAATATTCCGATGAGCTTTTAACTATTGCCAGCAAGATGAAAGTTAGTTCCCACTTTTCTAAAACAGTGATATTCGATAGAGAAACCAACAACTATCACCGCTATTCTGTCGACAACAACCCACTAAAACATACCTCCTAATCTATCAGGACAAAGTCTGCTTTGATTTTTTTGTGTATTTTTGGTCCGCTCTTGTTCAATTTTCAAGTTTTACTTACTGTCAATTCACTGCATTAGTTCAAAATGATCAAAAACAGGCTTCTTGGAAAAAAATCGTGATCAAACATGATTGTTGATAACATTAAGATGAGTGTTGAGCACAAAGTATTGGCTCGTTTACACAGTACATCACCCTCACTCAGACTAACTAGAGCAACAATGTATTCTTCAAAACTTATGATGCACAAACATGAACACAACGACATGAACACATGACACATTACTTATTAAAAATATAAGACACGAATACGGATTGGATATGGTATTATAAATTTTATATCTTAAAAAGAGTTTATAAAATTGAATAAGAAAATTATTAAAAATAATTAAGAAATAATAAATAATATGACTAAAATTTGTACTTAAAATGGTTAATATTAGAATGTGAATGTAGGGCGTCGATGTTGTGTTCGGCAACAAGAGGGAGATGACAATGCTCTCGATTGTCGGGCATCGTTGTTGTGCAATAGGCATTGAGCATTGATGTCAAGATGGAATTAGTTGTCGATCTTGGGATGACATCGATCATCGATGTTAAGACAACATTGAATAAAGATATGATGTCGAGATGGCATGAGGGGCTTGCATGTGGGCATAGAAATTGTTGGTGTCGAGCATCAATATTAACACAACATCAGACTTTGATGTTAAGATAATTTTGAAATACTTATGTTATGATTGCATTGAACGTTGATATTGAGATAACATCGCACATTATTGTGCAATCCTAGTTGCAACCTGCTAGAGGGAAATAAAAGGGATTTTTACATACATAACACTTCAAACTACTAGAAATACATATCAAACACCTAAACTTTTGTATTTACTAATATACCACATAAAAATCTACTTTTCATCTATATCTAACTCTCCGTTTAACCCCATGAGAAAATCCAATCAGCCTCAAGCGAGCGAGTGCCTTCGCCTTCCAGACCCATCGCCTTCTCCATCACGTTCGTCACGTTTGACTGTCTCGTGCGCCTCACGTATTCCGTTGGCCTCGCATCTTCTTAGGTTGGCAAGGTTTGCTCTCCTTGTTCTCCATGTCTTATGTGTAGTTTGTTCCCTTCAAGCGTTTCGCACGCCTCGCATCTTCCAAGTTCATGTTGTTGTTGTTTGTGCCCTTCGTTAGTTGATGTTGTCGTAGTTTTCTTCGTTTTCTATGTAGCCTTGTGGTAGTTATTGTTGAAGGTCATATATCGTTGTGCCCTTCTCTAGTTTTCTTTGTTTTCCCTTCCTGTTGTTGTTGTTGTTTTCATATGATATTCTATGCATTGCTGAGACTTTTCGTTCTTTATTTTGAATGTGTATTTCTATTGCTTCTCAAGTCATGAAGACATTCTACAATGACTTCGAGCTCCTCGGGGCGCCAATCAGAAACACAAGAAATCAAATATATTGTCATTGCTATTTGCAATGTACAATATATACATCATACAAATCGCGTAGTGGAAGGAAATTCTACAGATGCTCCCGAAACATATCAGAAGACGATTGTCATTTTTTTTTTGGTGGTGTCATGAACTAAATGATTTGTTGCATGATATGAATTACCGAAGTGCAAATGTTGTCGAAACCAGCCTAACTCTTGTTGCTTCAATTAGAGCCGAGCTTTTACAGATAAAACTCTTGTTGGTAATCGTGGTTATCCTAATTTTGATTGTAGCAATTGTTGTGAAATCTCTGCTCATGAGCTGTAATTGTAATTGTTGATTCGCATGTAACTATGAGAAAATTGCGTTAATTTGATTTCAAGAATAGATGAATGTAACTGTGGTGATACACCAGAAATTGTAATTGTAATTGTTAATATATGTTTTTTTTGTTAATGAACATTCTGTCTGTTATGAGTGGAATGCTAGTTAATACATGCTATAATGCCGTCGAATGCAGGCTACTATCTTCCGTGTTTGATTCCAGTAAATCCTTGCTGTGGCATGCAGGCTAGAATAATATTCAAGTCATTATTGTGGTAATGGCATAGAACATATCCATAAGCTCAAGTCCTGCTTCTGCTTGGGATCCAAATTCTGTGGTTAATATATTCTGTGTTTAATACATAATTGCTATAAGATAAGCGAGATGACGAATTAGTTCTGTGGTTAATACATAATTGCTATACAGTCATTAATACATTCCTTTAGCTATGACAGTTGTAAAATGCAGTTGATGGTTTTTGTTAATACATTCGGTGGTTGCCATGGAATCCAGAGATTGCACCACAAATTCTGTCCATAGCCAAGCGAGATGACGGACAGCAAGGCAGAGAGAAAAATAGTGAGATTGGGATCCAAAT